TCCGCCCCCGCTCCCCAGACTTGCCAATACCTACCCTTCTCCAGCCCCGTAGTAGTTGCCCGCCAGCCCTGCCCTGCCCCCCACTCCTTTCGCAGCCCTCCGCCGTGTCTCCCGCCCCGCCTCCCCAGCGCGCACACCCCCGAGCTCATACGTATGCGCAGAGTTCAGCCCTCATACATTCCAATGTACTGCACGGCCCGCGCTATTACCATGAGCCGCCGCATCATGGCGCTCCCCGCCTGTTGTGATTCCTCCTATATCGCTGTGGAATAAAAATATGTGATTTATGGAAAAGTCAAACCATAAAAAACATGGGTAGAGTGATCAGAGCAATATGGCGGGATCAAAAGTAGTGTGCTGTATGTGTATTAAGGAGCCTGTAATTGGGGGATTGAATTAATTCGATTTTTTGAAACATTTTTGGGGGGTGGGGGGTTACTTCCGCTGTTCTTTATGAACCGTATGAACACTTTCCGTGCGAAGAGTCCACTACATACACCCATTGACCCAAAGACAAGGTGGGCCCTTTCCATTATTGGCCAGTTTGAGTTTACAGTACACATGTAGAAAGCGGAGGTGGAGACACCCTGTGGCCACTGCACCCCGCCCCGCCCCGCCACGACCCGCCACGCCCTCTGCGCCCTGCTTGACCCAGCTGGCTGTCTGTCCGTCCCTCCCCTACCTGCTCGGTCTGCACCACTGCCCCTAACGGTGCTCCGAGCTTCACCTGCTCGGCCAGCGTATTGTCTTTGGCTTACAGGAATCTGAAAACAAATATAGTGAAAAGGATTGGGGACGGGCCCCTTCCTTCCTTGGCCCGTTGCAGTGCGGGTGCGCAGAGGCGGATCCAGGTGCACGTGCGCACCCTTGGACTCTGGAGGGGTTACAAACAGTGCTCTACGTATATAAACTACTCTCGCGAAAAACCGATCCAATGAGCCAAGAATATATTGGAATAAAAATGATACGAAAGACCTTAAGAATTATTCGTTAAAATTTAATGGTGAGCTCTGCACCCTGCTTGGGCTTGGCACGGCAGCGCGGCCTCATGGCCTGACGTGAAGTGACGTGACCTCCATGATGGTTGTCACGCGTATGTGCCACCCTGACGCCACGCCGCGCCACGCCGCGCCACGCCGCGCGAAACGAACGCGAACAGCAGCCGACCCACAGAGAAGCATCATTGCGACCGGATGGACGCGCTCACGGGCGTGGCGGGGCGGGGCGGGGCGGGCGCGGGCGCGGTAGGCTGGCGTGGCGGGGCGTGGAGGCGCCGCGGCGCTGCTGCTGCGACCCGCCTCGCCGCGGTACCTCGCATAGCACCGCGGCGCTCAGTCGCGGGACGCCGTTCTGGCCGAGCTGAGCAGCACAACGAGCTGCAGAAACCCGCCTCCTGGAAACGGAACGCACGCCAGGCAAGTATTACAGTGGCGAGCTCGAGAGAGCTCCGCGCCGTCGTCCACGCCTCCCGCCGAGCGTCACGTGAGCACGGCGCGCACCGTGTGGTGATCAGGTGTTCAAGCAGTGCATCACAGTTATTACTGACTTTGAGTGATCGGGTGTTCAAACCGTGCTCTGTGAACGTGCTGCGCTCCGCGCGCGCCTGACATGTGGGTCCTGGCCCGGGTCAGGTCCTCTGGTCTTATCTAAACAGTTACTGACCCTCCTCTTGCCATCGGCGGCGGTCGAGTGCCGTCGGGCTGACGCGCGCGACCTATCTGTGCGCTCACGAGCTCACGCCATACACAAAGTAATCCGCTCCCTGGTATTTGGCCCACTTGATGGTGGACACACCATTCAATCGGAATCGATCGTCGTTGTCATCAGGTAGCTGTCGTGAGCTAGCCGAGCGAGCTGCAGCACGCGTCGTGTGGTAGCTCCGATTATTCAAAAGTGCAAGTAAGTACTAGTGTCTTTCGCCGCAGTGACTGCGGTCTTCTCTGGCCATGCCCTGATGACTATCGATGTAACCTTCCGCGCGCGTCTCGGCATTTGAACTCGTGAATGGCGGGACGGGACGCCGCGCCGCGCGGTCACCGGTCACCGCAGTCCCGCGGACGCCGACGCGGCGGGGCCGGGCGAGGCGGGGCGGGGCGGGCGGTATCGTCGGTGGTCCAACAGGCGCTCCCCACTGAGATCATCGCCGACCACCGTCCCGCGCCGACCGGAGCTGCCGGAGCGGGGCATGACATGAGCGTCGCTAGTAGTAGTAATAGGCCACTCGGAGAGCGAGCGCGGCGGTGGAATTATCAGGTCGGTGATTGTCTCGCGGCGGCGCGGAGTGCGGCTTATCGGCAGTTAGACACGGCGGCGGAGTTGGAGGGGGGGGAGGGAGAGGGGGGAGGTGAATGTGTTACAGGGCATAGCGGAGAGCAGAGCCAAGGTCCTGGGCGCCCAGCCCGCCCGCCTGCCCGCCTGCCCGCCTGCCCGCCTGCCGCGCCTGGGATGGGATATATTATGTCCTTTCAGGATCACCAAAGCGGCACGGGACACGGGACACCGGGAAAAGGGAGGGGGGGGGGCAGTTATGACGCTGTTCTGATGTGGTCCTGGCCATACCGCCGGGGCCGAACCACCATACCAGGTCCCCATGCTGCCGCACAGTCACGCATGCCATGCCGTGTCCTGTCGGGGCTCACAGCAGATAGCAGCAGGATACCTGCAGAGGAGGATATACCTGCTGCTGGCTGCGGATGGGATGGGAAGTCAGCAGGAGCAGCAGCGGCTCGGAGCCAACGGTCCCCACTGCTATTAGCCAAACGCGACCGGACGGGCCGGACGGGCCGGACGGGCCTAGCGGCGGCGGACGCAGCGCAGAGCAGCGGGCAGCAGCAGGGGATCGTCGTTGTGTGTGGCGTGGCGGCGGCGCGTGGCTCCCGTCGCGAGCCGAAGCATACTTCGACGTGCGTGAACGTATCTGCAGCCCGGCGCACCGAGAGCGCCCCTCTAATGACGCTTATTACTGTCGTGATTATCGCTGCGGTCCTCATAGCCGACCCGGAGGCCCCCGCGGGG